AATGAGGTGCCCCGGCCAATCACCCTTCGGACCAACACCTTGAAAACTCGTCGCAGAGACCTTGCTCAGGTGAGGAATCAGTGTTGTTTAATTCAGGACTGGACCAGCTTTTGCTCACCTGGGGCTCACCCTGCCCTGTCCTGGCTGGGTGGGTTCTTCAAACCTAAGTATGTCTTGTTATAAACATGGCCCCTGGGCTAGGAGAACCTGCTCTCTGTCTCTTGGTCTAAGGGCCTAGGCCACTGTAGAGCGGGGCCTTGTCTTTGCCACCTCTGCTCCCTGTGACTGGGCTGAGACATCTGCATCAGGATGAACTGCTGCTTCTAAGGGATGGAGGAGGCCTCAAGAAGCCCCCAGTAAAGCACAGCCATACACAGTTTTAATCTCCAGAGTTAGTGTTATCTCATATACTGTTTATTTGTTTTGAAGATTTATCTTATGAACGTGCACCATGTGAATTATGGAATGTTGGTGTGAGCCACCATGTGGATGCTAGGATTGAATCCTGGTCCTCTTCAACAGCATGGTTGCTGAGCCATCTCTCCAGTAATGCATACTGTAGTTGTTACATTATTTAACAGAAGACGGTAGTCTGCTTATTTGGAATGTACTTGACTGTGTTAGAAACCTGGGGTTAAAAAATGGGAGTGGGGCAGAGGGGCTGGGGGTGTGGCTTGTGCTAGAGCAGTCTGCCTTAGCAGTCACAAGCCCTAGCCACAGTCCCCATAGGCGGAGTTTCTGTCCTGCCAGCAGCTCTCAAATAAACACAGAGGCTTAATATTACTAGCTAATGCTTACATTTAAATTAACCCATAGTTCTTACCTATGCTTTCCCACATGGTTTGTTACTTTTTCTCAGTATGGCATGTCCATGTTGCTTCTCCCTCCTGCTTCAGCCTCCTCAGACTCCGCCATTCTTCCCAGCATTCTCAGTGGCTGACCTGCGTGGACAGGTTCTCATACCTGACAGTTTTTGGGTAGAATATATGGTTTTGACATCTTCGTCCTTTTTTTTAGGCTCTAATCAATCGTGGAGTTAATCTGGATCCCTTGGGAAAGTGGTCAAAGTCTGGACTTGTGGTCTATGATTCTTCAGTGCCTATTGGTAAGTGTCCCCAGCCAGTAGCCCTTGCGCTGCACCCCTGGGCCAGCGTATCCCACAGTGCTCCTTTTTCACAGGCGCTACTCCCGAGTATCTGGCTGGGCACTACATGCTGCAGGGAGCCTCAAGCATGTTACCTGTCATGGCCCTGGCACCTCAGGAGCATGAGCGGATCTTAGACATGTGTTGTGCTCCTGGAGGGAAGACCAGCTACATAGGTATGAAAAGGGCGCTTTAGAAAGAATATAGGGTTGATAACTCCTCGAAGCTGATCCAACTTGGTATGCTTGTGTCTGGCAGAAAGGGGAGGGCGTTTTCTGGGATTTAGGCTCTGGATTCAGCTGTCTTTTAACCCTTTAGCTGACCTTGGCTGACTTGAATAGTAATTTTGGTTACATCGTCTCTTACTATGGTTGGCTTTAAAGGGTCAACATAATGCCTGTAGAAGCCCTTGGCACTCTGAACTGGGTGTCGTACTGTAAGTCTGTAATCCTGTACTCCAAGAACACTAGAAGGTCAAGGCAGGCTGTGACTATAGAAGAAACTTACTCAGAAAAGGAAAGAAATAAAAGTAATTTTGTATGTAGAGCCAGAAAGCTGGTCAGCAAAAGTGGAAGCCCTGTGGGTGGGTGTGGTCCCCACCCGACAGGCTGGATCAGCAGAGGGGAGTTGGCCTTGCTGGGGTGGGGGGTGAGACTTGGCCTGCAGGCTCTGCGCTGGAGGGTAGGTAGCAAGTGTGAGGCAGGGAAGCTGCTGCTGAGCCCTAGCGCTCCCCTCTTCCTGCCCACAGCTCAGCTGATGAAGAACACTGGGGTGATCCTTGCCAATGACGTCAGTGCTGAGCGACTCAAGAGTGTTGTGGGCAACCTGCATCGCTTGGGAGTCACCAACACCATTATCAGCCACTACGATGGACGCCAGTTCCCCAAGGTGAACCTCTTATCTTTCCTGAGGCTTCGGGTTACATTGCCCTTGGTGACATTGCTGTGTTTTAGCGCTGTCCTCAGGAAGTTAGTGCCCTTTGCAGCAAGATCGAGTTGACCTTTCCTTTTCCCAGGTGGTGGGGGGCTTTGACCGAGTGCTGCTGGATGCTCCCTGCAGTGGCACAGGAGTCATCTCCAAGGACCCTGCAGTGAAGACGAACAAGGTGAGGGGCCTGGTGGTGGATCAGCTGAGAGGCCTTGGCTGATCTTGTGGGTACGCAGCAGGTCCCTCCCTCAGGCTGTTTGATGGAGTCTCCACTCCTGGTTCTCTTGGGCAGGATGAGAAGGATGTCCTACGCTGTGCCCATCTTCAGAAGGAACTGCTGCTCAGTGCTATTGACTCTGTCAATGCGGCCTCCAAGACCGGGGGCTACCTGGTCTACTGCACCTGTTCCGTCACGGTGAGATCTCTGCAGGGGCAGATTAGCGGAGACTGGGTGGGAAGGCTGTTTGCCTCTGAGAGCGAGCATCTTGGATCCGACTCCACTCCTGCTTTGTCTCCCCTCGTGTACAGGTGGAGGAGAACGAGTGGGTGGTAGACTACGCCTTGAAAAAGAGGAATGTGCGACTGGTGCCCACTGGCCTGGACTTTGGCCAGGAAGGTTTTACCCGCTTTCGAGAAAGGCGCTTTCACCCGACTCTGCGTTCCACCCGACGCTTCTACCCTCACACTCACAACATGGATGGTTTTTTTATTGCCAAGTTCAAGAAGTTTTCCAATTCTGTTCCCCAACCCCACGCAGGTAATTAATTCGGTCTGCTCTTCCATCATCTCCTTTGCTCTTCCTGTCTGTCTTTCCTTAGTACGTGGGTGTGGTGTGCACAGTATGGTGTGTGTGTGTGGTGGTGTGCTCCTGAGCATGTGGGGAAGCCATTGGCCTCTGTTCTCCACATTATGTCTTATTTATTTTGTGTATGGATATGTGTGTGGGCATGTGCATGCCACAGAATACCTATGGAGGTCAGAATGACTTCTGGGAGTTCTCTGTTTCCACTGTGTGGCTCCTGACCCAACACAGGCTTACCAGCAGGTGCTTTTACCTGCTGGGCCCACCCCTACTTTTAAAAAGACTATTTTAAAAAATAATTTTTCAGTCGTATAATGTGTTCTAAATAAAGTCTTTAATTCCTACCTCATCACCTTCTCTTCCCTGAGTCCATTTAGCATTGACTATATATGGATGAGTATGAGACCATTTCCTGGAGCTGACTCCATCCCCAGCAGCAATCAGTTGCCAGGAGCTCCTAAGAATAGCATTTCATAACCCCTGCCATACACACACACACACACACACACACACACACACACACACACACACGCACGCCTCACTTTACTCTTTCCTTCCTTGCTTCTTTCCTTTTTTTTTTTTTTTAAGTTAAACTGTCTGCAACAAGAACCCCTGGGATCCACCTACCTCTGCTTCCCAAGTGCTGGGATTAAAGGCATGCACTGCCACCACCACCCAACAATCTCCTTGTTTCTTTTTTTTTTTTTAAAGATTTTATTTATTTATTAAGTATACAGTGTTCTGACAGAAGAGGGCACCAGATCCCATTATAGATGGTTGTGAGCCACCATGTGGTTGCTGGAAATTGAACTCAGGACCTTTGGAAGAGCAGCCAGTGCTCTTAACCTCTGAGCCATCTCTCCAGCCCAACCTCCTTGTTTCTTAATGATCAGACCATCTCTAATTTTCACCTCAGGAAACACAGCAGCAGCTACCCCTACAGAGCCTGAGCTGAAGGACCAGGTCCCCCCCACGTCTGAGAGCGGTAATCAGCCAGCCAAGAGAGCTGGTGCAGCGGCAAAGGCCAAGCAGCAGCTGCGGAGGCAGCAGCATTCCAGAAAGCCCTTCCAGAAGATGAATGGCACCTCCAAAGGGCCAAGCTCAAAATCCACTGTCCCTTCTGTCCCAAAAGCCCAAGTGTCTGCCAGGCCCCAGGAAAGCAGCCAGCCTGATGGAGAAGTTGGAGTGATCAGGAAACTAAAGCGCAGACGACCTAAACCAAAGCCCTCCAAGGAAGCCACTGTCTCAAAGCACAGAGCCCCTCCCAACGGCGTGGACTCTGAGAATTCCACAGCCCCAGGGCTTAAGGACTGCAGTCAATCCCTTGGGATAATCAAAACGACTGGAAAAGGAAAGCAACAGATACCAGGACAGCCTGCCAAGAGAGCTGCTTCCCTAAAAGAGGATGGTGCCCCCAAGGGACCCTCAGTCCCCACTGGGTCTCCCCACAGTTCCACCAGGCCCCCACCAGCAAAAAGGAGGAAATCTGTGACAAAGGGCAGCAGCCAGCCACAATTGTCTTAGATGGATTTGCAAACCAGACTCACATTGTCCCTGGGTTGGAACTCTTCTTACATCCTGCAGTGATGGCCTCCCCACTGTGAATACATATGAAATTTAATATACATATTTTCACCACTAGTCATGTTGTGTTTTTTAAGGTGCTGGGTATTGGCAGCTTGTGGGCCTGGGAGTCTCTTGAGAGGGAAACAGCTGGACATTGCTTGAATCATAGGTCTATCTATATAGGTCAGTGATAGGCTGCTTGCATTTCTTGGTCTCCCAGGGGGAAAGTCAAAGAATCATATCTAGGGTACTGGGGAGAAGAAGACAGCAGGGATGTAGGGAAGACATCTTCCCGCTGCTGGTGCCTACTAGATACCAGAGCTGAAATCTTGGGCAGTGGCTAGTTCCCTAGGGAAGTGCTAGTTTGCTTCCTTCTAGTGTTGACTCCACGCCTGCCTGGACTCAGACCCGGAAAGGTTCAGGGCTAAACCTCTAGTGAGGGCCTTTCATTGGCTTCCTCTAGTCCCGCCCTCATAACCTCTGCCCTCCTACCGGTCTGTCTGATTGGCTGCTCGTATCCCGCAGGCGCCTCATTGGCTCTTATCCTCTCCCTCTGCTGCACTGGTCTCCATCTCCCAGCAGTAGGCGCAGCCATGAATCCGTTATTCGGTCCTAATCTCTTCCTCCTACAGCAGGAGCAGCAGGGCTTGCCCGGGCCGCTGGGGGACCCCCTGGGAGGTGACCACTTTGCCGGGGGAGGGGACCTGCCCCCGCCTCCGCTTGCCTCGGCGGGTCCCGCTGCCTATTCGCCTCCCGGGCCTGGTCCGGCGCCCCCTGCAGCCATGGCTCTCCGCAACGACCTGGGCTCCAACATCAATGTACTCAAGACCCTGAACCTCCGATTTCGCTGCTTCCTAGCCAAGGTGCACGAGTTAGAGCGCCGGAACCGGCTGCTGGAGAAGCAGCTGCAGCAGGCTCTGGAGGAGGGTAAGCAGGGCCGGCGGGGCCTGTCCCGCCGCGACCAGGCGGTACAGACCGGCTTCATCAGCCCGATCCGGCCCCTGGGGCTGCCCCTGAGCTCCCGGCCCGCCGCTGTGTGTGCCCCGTCAGCGCGGGTGCTGGGCTCCCCCGCCCGCTCGCCAGCCGGACCCCTCGCATCCTCTGCGACCTGCCACTCATCATCCTCCACCTCCACTTCTACCTCCACCTCCTTCTCCTCATCGACCCGTTTCATGCCCGGCACCATCTGGTCCTTCTCACACGCCCGCCGGCTTGGACCGGGACTGGAACCCACGCTGGTCCAAGGACCTGGCCTGTCGTGGGTACACCCTGACGGGGTGGGCGTTCAGATCGACACCATCACCCCTGAGATACGCGCACTGTACAACGTGCTGGCCAAGGTGAAGCGGGAGCGGGACGAGTACAAGCGGAGGTAGGGATCTGAAAAGTAGGGACAGGGTTCACGACATGCCACATATAGACACGGAGGGGCAGGGAGTTGGGGGGGGCGGTCCCAGAACCGGGAACTGGGGGCCCAACAGTCATGGCAATAAGAGTGAAGTTCCTGCTGTGACAGTGAGGAGCTTGGAAGGAATTGGATGCAGGGGCTAGAGTCCACAGACAGTTCCCGTCAGGCTCCTGACTAGAAGCGTTCTAGAAGAACCTTAGGGATTGCTACTTTTCTTCTGGCGCATCTCCCTGTCTTATGCAGGCTGCAGTGTTTGCATGACTCTGCTCACTGTGGGGTGTTGTATTGTATGAAAGGGAGACGGATCCGAGAGAGCCTCGCATCTGTGGGTCTTGTTGTCTGGCCAGCCTCAGACCTTGGGACAGTTTCAGAATATTAACTCCACACTTGAGGCGAGGGATGTAGTTTTAATTTTAGAGGTAGATTAAGTGAAACCGGAAGACGGTAGTAAGGAAGGGATCATCTGCTCAGGACTTTTCCCATAAGGCAAACCCAGGTCTCACCTTAGATCCGTATGAGAGATTCAGGGGCTCCAGAGCCTAAAGGCATCGATTGCTTGGGCCAGTCAAACAGGCAGGGAAAGAGAGAAGGAAGGGGCACATACTGTCCTAGGACAAGGAGAAGGGATGGCTGTCGTCATAGGACTGGTAGAGAGGTCCTCGCAGAAGAATCACAGAAGAATCAGGAACAGAGAGCCAGCAGGGGGGTGGAATAAGAAAAAGTTGGGAACATGGACACACCCTAGAGTAATAGAGTGTCTCAGGGCCAGCCCAGTGTATTCAGAGGGTGAAGGTTTGGCTTTCCGAGAGGAACCCCGCCCCCAACAGGTTAGCACAAGAGGTAGGAGGAAGGGATGTCACATTGGAATGTTGACTGTATACCAGGAGGATTCACTGGGTGGCTGGTAACCAGACCATAGGACGGAATCACAGGCAGAGTGAGTGCTTGGAAGACTGACCAGGCTGTGACTGAGGAGGGAGGAGATGGCAGCCAGAGAGTCCTAGGCTTATCCAGTTTCTTATCTAATGTGACCCTTTTGGGCTTAGCCTGGACTGCCTGTGCAGGCCAAGGTGGCAGCTATCTGGTCAGCTGTGTGTGGGGACCATCTGGAGGCCCTGAGAACACAGTGCTGGGTCTGGGATGACCTTCAGGGCTTGGTAACCTGTTAGCACCCACCCAATTACATGCTTCAGCAGGCTTTCTGAAGTTCAGCCCTCACGCTGGTGTCCATGACTTTGACCGGTGTTAGAACCATCTTTGGGCTTTTAGTTGCCCCAGCATCTAAGTACCACCCAGAACGAGGCTGTGCCTGCCTCTGCCCCCATAGGGCTTAACCCAGAATGGAACACTGGCATTGCTAGGGTTCTGCCATAATCCTAGGAACAGCTGCTCTTCTCCAGGGTAGCTTTTAAAACAGAGGGTGTTTGTCCTTGGTGCAGCTGTTCAGGGCAGCAGCATTATCCCTCGAGGACTGATTGTCTCATCACCCTGCAGCACATTGCTGTGCAGTAGCTTAGACTTGCAGGGCCCCGTGGCTACACTTGCTAGGTATGCGACAGCCTTCCGCCCCGCGCCCCTGCCTTCCTTCTGGACTCATTATAGCAACACTGGGCTCTGCATCTTCAGTCTGGACAGCTTGGGGGGCTCGAGTTCTAGACAGGGCAGGTGGGAAGCCTCACCCCAAAGTCCTGTTTTTAGCTCCTTTGCCTGTGCGTCCTTTTCCTTGGGGTTCAGTTTTTCCAAGACAAGAGAAGACACTCACTTTTTCTCTTTAACACAGAGATAGGATTTATTTGCAAGAGAGGCCTCTGGTAAATGCAGGATGTACAGAAATTGCCCAGATTCTACCCAAGTTTTGGGAACCTTGCAAAAAAAGAAAGGGAAAAAAGGCAAGAGTTGGATGGATGTCCGACTGCACGCATTTGTGTGTCTGCGTGGAGAGCAAGCAGAACCCTCCTGAGCGCCCAGCTGAGTCATTTTCAGATCTTTCCCTGTATGATCCAGCTCATTAGTCAGCATCCTGCCTTAACGTTCGCATGTCTTACTTGGGTTTATTGAGTTCATTATTAAATAGGATTTCTGGCGCTCCCTGATGCATCTTGGCCAGGGTTTTAACTTCTTGTCAGTCCGGTGGGCTTCCTCCAGAGACACACAGACTCTGGGCACACAGGGGCCCCTTCCCATACCTACATGTTATAGATGAAGAAACTGAGGCCCAGCAAAGATGAAGGTCTCATCTAAGAAAGTGTATGGCATAAGGCTATCAGTCTGTCATCGCCAGGACGAAAGCAGAAGCAGATGGGGGCTGGCGGGGAAGGGGATAGAGGGTGAGGGAGGCCAAGAGCTGAGCTGCATGGTCAGCGGCAGGGTGGTGGCTGGGCTGGCCGCCTCTTCCCCCAGCCAGCTGGGAGGGGCAGCTGCCGCGGAGTTATTATTAGGGACACTGCAGTGCGGCTGTGAGAGCAGAGACATGGAACCTGAGAGGGTGAGGGGCAGGGAGAGGAGTGAAGGGCCACAGACTGCAGAGGCTTCTCCTCCGCTGCTTCCTTCCCTCTCCTCTCATGCTGAGCCTTCTCCTTCAGCTGCCTTGCCCTCCTTTCTGAGGCCAGAAGGATTCTATGCGGAGTACAGCCGGAAGTGATGAGCTCACGCACCGAGGCTTAGCCCAGCCACTGACTCAGCCAACCTCGGGTTCTAAATCTACAGAGCCAAACCCTGCCCCACCTTCCATCTCTGTGACAGGATGGAACGTGCACTTAGCCCTGGGTAATGCCCCGCAGACTCTGCCCCATGGCAAGTGTGTCTTCCTGATCTCTGGTTTGAACCCTGGCTTGAGAGATGCTATGCTGTTTATGGGGGCCTTCCTACACTCTGGTTCTCTGTCCCTTGGGTGTGACCACTTAGCCATCCCTAGCTTCTGATGGCCACTTCTTTCACACTGCTGGGGAGACATCACGCCAGCCCTGTGACCTTCTTGTAGCTCACTTCAAGGGGCTGGGTGGGGAAAGACTTTGTCCCCCGCAAGACTGCTGGGCAGCTCTTGATCCTGCCTGTGTCCTGCAGATGCTTTCCCAGGTTTAAGTGGTACCCAGGAGGCAGGGCAGCAGGCTAGCAAGCTCTGTTCTGTGCGGGCAGGAGCGGGAGACCGGATCTGTGCCACTGAAGGTGGGAGACTGGGCTGAGGTGGGGGACGTGGTAGACTGGTGTGGGCAGGAGGTGGGGGGATGAGTCTAGCCAGGCAGCTGGCGGAACTGGGCCCACGCGGGGATGGGTACTGCAGAGGGCCAAAGTGGTGGCAGTTGTTCTTAAATATAGTTCCTGATACACGGTCCAGAGGATCTGGCCAGACAGTTGGTGAGCTCGGCCCTTGCCAGGAAGTATGGAGCCACCCAGCAGCTGCAGCTGCCCACTGGCTGGCAGCCCATGTATTCTCATCTCCACGAATTCCCATCCAGGGAACTTGACCTGGGGTCTGATCTGGGCCTAAGGGGGTGGGGGGCAGGAGCTGGAGTGGCAGGAGGGACTCCAGGTCTGTTCTCTCCCCCTTCCCTACGTCTGTCAGGTGGGAAGAGGAGTACACAGTGCGGATCCAGCTGCAAGAGCGAGTGAACGAGCTCCAGGAGGTGAGGGCGGCCACCCCGCAGCCCCTGCTTCCCTGCAGCACCACTGAGCCTGAGCCCTGCCCCTCCCATACTTTCCCACATTGACATCATGCCCCCCTTTCCTCCTGGCTGTAGGAGGCCCAAGAGGCCGATGCCTGCCAAGAGGAGCTGGCCATGAAGGTGGAGCAGCTGAAAGCCGAGCTGGTGGTCTTCAAGGGCCTCATGAGTAACGTGAGTGCAGACTTTCCTCTCGGCTCTCGGGGACCCGTCGGTGTCCCGTGTGCCACCTTCTCCCCTCACTTTCCCACCCTCTCAGGGTTCTGCTCTTTGCCACTGTCTTGTTCCAGTAGACAAAGAAGCTGTTGTCCCGTCACAGGCAGGGTGGGTGGCCTCGCTGTTACAAGAGGTTGTTAAGCAGTTAATGAGAGCACAGCTTTGCGCTCTCTGGTGGCTCAAACCTGTAACCCTAGCACTTGAGAGGTGGAGACAGAACGGTCAGAAGGATGAGGGGTTCAAGGCCAGCATCAATTACGTTGAAACTAAACAGAACAAAAGAATGTGCACAGGGCTGGAGAGATGGCTCAGAGGTTAAGAGCACTGCCTGCTTTTCCGGAGGTCCTGAGTTCAATTCCCAGCAACCACATGGTGGCTCACAACCATTTGTAATGAGATCTGGTGCCCTCTTCTGGCGTGCAGGCATACATGGAGGCTGAACACTGTGTACATAATAAATAAATCTTTAAAAAAAAAAAAAGGAATGTGCACAACTCTGGAACCGGCTGCTTAGGCTCCCTTCCAAGTTCTGCCACTTGCTAGCTCTGTGGCCCTGAGCCTCTTCCTTCTCCCCTGTACCTCCTCTCTGGCCTCATCCGAGAAATGTGGAAAGCAGAAGGAAAGACTGTTCAGGGTTGGCCTTGACGAGGATAATGCCCTGGCTGGTGCTCAGCGCTAGTCTAGCGAGATAAGTGTCATCTTTCTCCACTCTTGTTTTGTTTTCTTTTGTTTGAGACAGGGTTTCTCTATATAACAGCCCTGGCTGTCCTGGAACTCACTCTATAGACCAGGCCGGCCTCGAACTCACAGAGATCTGCTTGTCTCTGTACTGGGATTAAAGGTGTGCACACCAACATCACCTGGCTGTCACTCTTCCCCCAGTGGTGTCTTGGTGTCTTTCATCTGTGGGAGCTTATGTTTCAGTAGGAGAGAAAACCGTGGTTGGTTCAAGGGAGGCCCCACTCATCCCAGCCTCGGCCTAGCCCTCCCATGTCTGTACTGCCTTGGGGGCTAGTATCTTGAGCTGCCCTGTGGACGTGCATTGTGTAGGATGGGTCCCTGGGGAAAGGGACGTTGGTCCAGCAGGTCAGGGACTTTGTGGAGGAGGTGGCCGTGGTGTGCCACAAAGGACGAAGATCTTGCTGAGGTCTTATCTGTCCCGGCTGAGGGTGCTGGGCATCTTACTTTTCCTTCCCTGTGTTCCTGGTACAGAACCTGACAGAGCTGGACACCAAGATCCAGGAAAAGGCCATGAAAGTCGACATGGACATCTGTCGCCGCATCGACATCACAGCCAAGCTGTGTGACTTGGCTCAGCAGCGCAACTGCGAGGATATGATCCAGATGTTCCAGGTGAGAGGCCTGAAGGCCACGGCTCCCAGGGGCTGGGCAGGCGGAGAGGCCTCTGTCGTAGCTAGCCGGGATCTCAGGCCCTGCTAGCTTCACCGCTGGGACACATCTTGGCCCCTGGGGCCCTTGGTGGGACTAGGTGGGGGGGCAAGGGACAGCCTCAGGAGAGAGGTTTCAGAAGCCGTCTCTAACGCCATCTCCCCCTCCCCCCTCCTCTGTCTGCTTCTCTCCTCTCTGTTCCTCTCATCTTTTCTCTTGCTTTCTCCATAGAAGAAGCTGGTTAGTGTGACCTCACGCAAGCTTATTGTCCTGGTCCCGTCTCTAAGCCACCCCACCCTGAGTTTTGAACCACTGGGCTCTTCAGCCAGATGTCTTCTTTCTGCTTTCCCTGCTCCTCCCGTTTTTAGTCTCCTCCTCGTTGGTTTTCCTTCCCTTTCCTTCACCCACTGGCCTTTCGGATCTGGATGTGATTCAAGTTCTCCGTAGCAAACATGAGCATCTTCCTCGAAGCCCAGACTGTTTTCACTGGAGTCCTTTCATGAGAAAGACTGATAAACTAAATAGAACCCAATTCCTCTGTAGCCATTGAACACCTCTTCTCTTTTTCTAAAGACTTATTGTATGTGTATGGGTGTTTTCCTCCATGTCTGTGCACCAAGTGAGTGCCTAGTGCCCCAGGATGCCAGAAGAGGGCATTGGATCCCTTGGAACTGGAGTTATGGAGGGCTCTGAGCCGCCATGTGGCTGCTGGGAATTGAACCTGTGTCCTCTGGAAGAGCATCCAGTGCTCTTAACTGCTGAGCCATCTCTCTAGCCCCCATTACACACAATGTAGTCACCTCAAGCCATTTCTCTCCTTAGCTTACTGCTCTGTTCTGTTTCTCCTTCCTTCTTTGTCCGCAGCCCTGCCCTGTCTGTGTGTGTCTGCCCATGTCTCGATGACTGTTCTGTTTCTGCTCCTGTCATGTAACTGTGTGTCTTCTCTGTCTGCCCCTCCCTTCCTGCTGACCCTGCTCCACCCTGCGGCCTCCCTGCCCACCCTCTCCTCATGCACCCGGCCTCGCCTCTGTAGTCTCTACACTTGTCTCCCATTAAGGTCCCGTCCATGGGGGGGCGGAAGCGGGAGCGCAAGGCCGCTGTGGAGGAGGACACCTCCCTGTCGGAGAGTGATGGGCCCCCCCGCCAGCCTGAGGGGGACGAGGAGGAGAGCACAGCCCTCAGCATCAACGAGGAGATGCAGCGCATGCTCAGCCAGCTGTGAGTCCCGCAGGTCCATCCCAGCTGTGAGTCCCGCAGGTCCATCCCAGCTGTGAGTCCGGCAGGCCATCCCAGCTGTGAGGCCCGCAGGTCCATCCCAGCTGTGAGGCCCGCAGGTCCATCCCAGCTGCCCACATCAGAAGCTGCCCTCACCACATGTACCCCAAGTCCCTCCCAGGCCCCTGAAGCCAGCCGGCAGGTCCATCCCAGCTGCCCTCACCAGATGTCCCCAGTCCCCGAGGCCGGAGTTCCCCTAGTGCCCTGTGCCCGCCCGCTCAGAGGCCCCAGTGCCCTTGACACCCAGGTTCCCTGTCTCTAGGAGGGAGTATGATTTTGAGGACGACTGTGACAGCCTGACTTGGGAGGAGACTGAGGAGACCTTGCTGCTTTGGGAGGATTTCTCAGGCTATGCCATGGCAGCCACAGAGGCCCAGGGAGAGGTAACCTCCTCCCCTTCTGGCCTTAGGCCCCTCAGGCTCCGCCTCTGTGTCCTGCCACTTTGTCTCCCTCCCCACCTCATGCTATGTCCCCAATGTGGCTTTCATCTTCCCTTGGCTCCTCCCCATTCCCCTCTGCATCCTTCTCTCTCTTCTTTTCCTCTAACCAGACTTTCTCTCTTCCCTCCTTGGTCCATGGAATGCCCCTCTCCTGTTTCTCTCTGGCTGGCTGCCCCTCGCTTCCCTTTCTCCAGCAGCAGCAGGAGGACAGTCTGGAGAAGGTGATCAAAGATACTGAATCCCTGTTCAAAACCCGGGAGAAGGAGTATCAAGAGACCATTGACCAGATAGAGGTAAGGGTGTCGGCAGTGGGGGCTCCGTTCCCGGGGCTCACAAGCCAGGCTGTGGGGATAGGGGTCAGGGTGTCGGCAGTGAGGGCTCCGTTCCCAGGGCTCACAAGCCAGGCTGGAGGTGTGCTGCTGGCCTCCTCCCTGCTAGACCCCACGACCAGGACCCCCCTCTGTTGACAGGAAGCGTGCAAACCTCCAGTTGTGGTAGCTCTACTGGACTCTTGAGACCTTAGGCTATAGAGGCAGATAGATGTGGGTTCAAGTCTTGGCTCCATCACCACTTGGAACAAATCTTTTGTCTTCCTGTCTTCTTTTCTGTTTACTTTACATATATGTATGTGTGTGTTTGTCAGTGGGAGCATGTACCTGCCTTGGTATGTGTGGAGCTCAGAGGACAAGCATCTTGAGGAAGTGAGTTCTCTCCTTCTACCGTGTGGGTCTCAGGGATCAAATTTAGGTTGTCAGGCTTGGTGGCTTATGCCTTTACCTGCTGAGCCATCACTCACCAGCCCCTTATTCTTTCTTAATTTTTTTTGGAGGGTGTAATAGGGTCTCTCTGTTGTTCTGGCGCTCCTTGAACTCCCTCTGCAGACCAGGCTGACCTCAAACTCAGTGATCCACCTTCCTCTGCCTCCTGGGTCTGGGATTAAAGGTGTATACCACCCCTCCTGGCTCCCTTGTTCTTTTTGAGTACCTGTTTCATTATTTATGTATTTATGTATTTATTTACAAGTTCTTGTCTTGTAGTCTAGGTTGGTCTCAAATTCTGGTCCTTCTGCCCCCAGTCCCCATTTGCTAGGATTATGGGCTAGGATTATGTAGCTGAAATGTGAGCTACAACATTTCAGTTTTGCACTGTGTGTGCGCGTGTGCGTGCATGTGTTTGTATGTCTGTGTGTGGGCATGCAGATGTGCACACACACGCGTGTGGAGGCCAGAAGATAAAACCTAATTTTGTTCTTTAGGTGTGGTTAACTTTTTTGTTTAAGATTTATTTATTTATTGTGTATACAGTATATGTGTTCTGCCTGCAAGTATGCCTGCAGGCCAGAAGAGGGCACCAGATCTCATTATAGGTGGTTCTGAGCCACCATGTGGTTTCCTGGAACTGAACTAGGATCCCTGAAAGAGCAGCTAGTGCTCCTAAGCTCTGAGTCATCTCTTCAGCCCAGGTGTGGTTAACTTAAAAAAAAAAAAATGAGATGGGCTCTCGCTGGTCTGGAACTTCCCGAGTAGGTTATGCTGGCTGGCTAGGGAGCTCTAGACTCCATCTGTCTGTGCCTCCTTCAGTATTGCAGTGTGCACTGCACTGTCTAGCTTTCTCATACAGGCTTTGTATCCACTCAGGTCTTAGGCTCGTCAGGTAAGCGCTTCGCTGAGTGAGGTGTACCAGCTAGCCAGCTCTCGTTCCTCTTTAGTTCTTTGATACAGGCTCTCTCACACGCATGTGTGCACACATTTGCGCTCTCTCTCTCTCTCTCTCTCAGTCAGAAGAAGGCATCAGCTCCCCTGGAGCTGGAGTTTGCAGGTGACCGCGAGCCTGACATGGGTGCTGGAAAGCAAATTTAGGTCCTCTGCAAGAGCAGGGAGTGCTCTTAGCTGCTGAGCCACCTCTCTAGGTTCCCATACAGGGTCATTCTGTGCTGCCAAGCTGGCGTCAAATTGGAGGCAATTCTCCTGCTTCAGCCTGCTGAGTGCAGGAGTTACAGATGCTTACTGCCATGCTGAGCTTGGGCCTGCCTCTTGATTTGTCAGATGGAGACAGATGTCTCTCCCTGCAGGCTGGGTTATTAGGACGATCAGATAGAGTGAGACGTGTACACGTGGCGCTTAGGGCAGGAAGGATCTGGCAGCTTGGCGTGTCACACGGTGCATTGTTTACTGCTGGGAACACCCTAAATACTGTACCGCTCAGAGGAACTCCCGCTCAGCTTTGAGCTCCTGGGGGGAATCTCCCTTTTGGTCTTGAGCCTTGGGGAGTCCTTTATAAATGGTGATACAGTAGGGGTTCGACTGTCCTGCTGAGGCAAATTTGTAGGGAGGAGGTCACTGTCGGAGGAGCCTTGGGTGGGGCTGTGTGACGACTGTGGCTTGGACTCTGCTCTATGAATGAGCCAGGAGACTTGTGTGTCCGGCCTCCATGGAGGTCCTCGGGGGCATTCCCATGCCTATAGGGTACATGAACTTTGGAAGTTATTTTCCTGTGTTTCATATCCCAGCACATGTCAAATGGCCGTACTATCCTACGCAAACCCAGGGAAATTCTGAGTTTCAGAGGCCCAGCTGGTGTTTTGCCCCCAGCTGAGGTTTGTGTGGGGACACATAACCTTCTCCCATCTCTTGTGTACTCCTCCCACTGCCTGCTCCTCTCCTTCTCCTCCCTGTCCTCCCTCCCTGGCTTATGCCAACCTTTTCTGGATTCCAGGCCCTTAGCTTTAAACTTTAGTAGAGTGACTGGGGCTGCCCTTGGGCCACAAATGCCTAGTTGTCAACAAGACCTGGTGAGACAAAGAAGAGCCTCCTGGGCTGGGACTCTAGCTCAGCTGGCCGGATGCCTGCCTAACTGTGAAGCCCTGAGTTTAATCCCAGCACCACCTGGAGCCGGGTGTGGTAGTGCAAGTCTGTAGTCCCAGCACCTGGGAGTCAGGGCAGGAGGGCAGGACCAGAGGTCCATGCGCATCATCCTTGGCTACATAACAAGTTTGAGGCTAGCCTGGGCTACACAATCCTTGTCTTAGAAAAAAAATTCTGAAGGGGAAACATGGGTCTGAAGCTGTTTCTAAACTGTGGCTCTTCTGTCCTCTCCTGGAAGAAAGGTGAAGAAAGCTCATTTGGTGGCTTCGGTGGCAGGGCTGCTCCTGGGGTCTACCTGGGGCATCTGTAGTAGCTTTAGCTTTGTGACCCTTGATCTCCGTTACTGAGGAAGAGCAGCCCGGTTACTGGATGGTAAATTCATGATAGGTTGGAGTTTTCTCCCACGGCCCTGGCTCCTCCCATCTCTCCCATCTACCTCCACTGCTCTGATTTCCCACGCTGAGTCTGGAATTTGGGGGGTGACCTCTATAGCATGTGCATCTTCCCCTTCAGTGTTTAAATTAGGGTGATGTGTGGAGTCCCAGAGGCTGTTGTTGGTAGTGCTGCCTTGGGCGCTGAGAGGCCATTTGTGCTTCACTTCTGTCGCCTAGAAGAATGGGTTCTAGTCTTATCCCCTGCAGTCTTCCTGGGGAAGCAGGGAGAGAGAGAACGTGTGCGCATGCACACGTGTGTACATGGCAGCTGACCTCTGACCTGGAGTATCGTATTTTTCTCCCTGGTAGCTTGTTCTCCTATGGGAACAAGCATGCCTTTCAAGCCATCTCCAGCGTGGCTTACAAGCCAGCTGTCCACTAGATGACCCAGAATGCCAGTGTCCTGGCTGCCCCTTTGTCTGCTCCTGTGGCTCATTTCCTTCCTTCTGCCCATTCCCACCCTCTGGCCCGTTGGCATTTGTTGCGGGTGGCTTCCCCACTCCTTATTCGCATGCCCCACGCCTTCTTTTCGCTCCCAGGCAGCCAAGCAAATCACCCCACTGCAGTTCAGGTCTACCGTTCTGGCCCCTAGCCTTTGTACACAAAACAAAGAGAGGCAGCAGACTTGTCTCTGGCCTAGATTCTCTTCCGCCGCAGCCCACTTTTCCTCTGCCTCCAAATCAGGCTGCCGAGGCAGCTCTGTGAGGGAGACTTTTCTTGGTGCAGGGATCCATTTCTTCCACGCGAAACTTCTGAAACCAAGATAGATCTTGTAATCACTAAGTGTGGATGTCTCTCCTCTGTGGGGGGAGTGGGTTATGAGTGAGAAATGAAATGAACTGAATGCTTTAAACACAAGCCAGCTTTGCTCCACTGCAGTGACTTTGGGCTACTCCACAGTGAATTAGTGCTAACGGAGGCAACTTCTCTCCAGAGGCACATCTCCTGACTGTTTTGTTTTTTGAGACAGCCTCTCCTGTAGTTCAAGCTGGCCTCAAACTTGCTGTAGACCAGGCTGATCTTCAACCTTTGATCCTCTTGCCTCCACCTCCTTAGCTGGGATTGCAGACACATGTCAGCAGGTCCAGTTTAATGTGCTGGGGACCAAACCTTTGGTTTTGTTGCATGCAAGGCAAGCACACTGCCAACTGAGCTACACTGCAAGCCTCTCCACACCTTTAAACACTTTTTTAAAAAGTAAATATTATTATTATTATTATTATTATTATTATTATTATTATTATTATTTTCCGTGTCCACATGCCATGGTGCATGTGTGGAGGTCAGAGAGCAATATGGACTGTGTTCTATCCTTCTGCCACGTGGGTCGCTGGTATCAAATTCAGATTGCCAAGTATATGCAGCAGGTGCCTTATCCGCCAAGCCATCTGGCTAGTCCCATCCCATGTCACCCACCCCCACCCCCAGTTTTGTCTTTCTTTGGTTTTAGTTTGTTTGTTTGTTTTGGTTTTTCAAGACAGGTTTCTCTGTGTAATAGCTAAAGCTGTCCTGGAACTAGCTCAGTAGACCAGGCTAGCCTCAAACTCATAGAGATCCACCTGCCTCTGCCTCTGCCTCCCGAGTGCTGGGCTTAAAGGCGTGCGCCACCATGCTCAGCTTCTTTCCCCTTTTTGAGACCAGGTTTTACTATTTAGGTCTTAGGTTTACATCAAACTGCCCTTGAAATCAAGATCTTCCTGCCTTGGCTGCCGAGTGTTGGAGCTATGGATGTGCTCACTATACTATGTTCATGTTGCTCCCTTAAAATGAGCTGAGGCATCTAACTGACTCTGGGAGTGGGAGAGAGAGTAGAGATTCCCAGGAAAGGGGTGAGTGTGGAGCACTGGCCTGCGTGCCTTCACCTAGCCAGAGTGAGGGTCTGAAGTTAGAGTGTCAGTAGCTGCCCCCTCAACCCGTCCTCCGCCCCGGGTGGAAAACGGGCCATCGTGGTGTACTTGATGCTTTCTGCCGCCTGTGTGGGCTCTTTCTAAGTTCAAGCTTTTCGCTATGACTGCCCCCATCCAGGGGGCCAGCTGCTGCTCTAATCCCTGTCTGCCCTGGGCTCGCTAACCTCCTCATCCCGCCCTGCCCTACTTTACTGCAGCTGGAGCTGGCCACAGCCAAAAACGACATGAACCGGCACCTGCACGAGTACATGGAGATGTGCAGCATGAAGCGGGGCCTGGACGTGCAGATGGAGACCTGCCGCCGGCTCATCACACAGTCAGGGGACCGGTAAGGAGAGAGAGAGAGAGAGAGAGAGAGAGAGAGAGAAACACACAGAGAGAAACATAGAGAGAGAAATAGAGAGACAGAGACAGACAGAGAGAGAGAAACAGAGAGAGAAATAGAGAGAGAGAGAGAGAGAGAGAGAAACAGAGAGAGACAGAGACAGACAGAGAGAGAGAGAGAGAAACAGAGAGAGAGAGAAACAGAGAGAGAGACAGAGAGAGAGACAGAGAAAGAGAGAGAAGCTCTCGGAGAGGGCTCATTGGTTAAGAGCACTGACTGCTCTTCCAGAGGACTTGGGTTCAATTCCCAACATCCACATGATGCTCACAGCTGTCAGTAACTCCAGTTCCAGGCAGGACTTCTGACACCTTCACACGGACATTTATGCAGGCAAACACCAATGAACACAAAATAAAAATAAATTCTATAAAAAATAAATCCCCCACCATCAATTATCACATGTACTCACTCATAGGTGGTTTTTAAACATAGAGCAAAGAAAACCAGCCTACAAACCACAATCCCAGAGAATTTAGACAACAATGAGGACCCAAAGAAAGACATACATAGATCTAATCTACATGGGAAGTAGAAAAAAGACAAGATCTCCTGAGGAAATTGGGAGCGTGGGGATCTTGGGGGAGGGTTGAAGGGGAGAGGGGAGAGGCAGGGAGGGGAGCAGAGAAAAATGTAGAGCTCAATAAAAAGAAAAGAAAAATAAATCTGTAACTCAGACCAGGTGGCGCATGTTTGCAGTCCCAGTCTTGGAAGGTTGAGGCAGGAAGATTGTCATGAGGCTGTCCTGGACCACAGTAGCAAAACCTTGTCTCAAACAAAAGGAAACAAAAAGCAACAATAACAGATAAGACCTAAGGAACCACAGTCAGTCAGGTGTGGTAGTGCATAAGTGTCCCAGGCCGGTGGATTGCAACAAGTACTAGGCCGGTCTCCCCTCTATATAGAGTTCCAGGCCAGCAAGGGATGCATACTGAGACCCTGTCTCAAAGAAATCAAAAACCCCAGCCCACTCCCCCAAATTACACTAAGCTGGGCACAGTGTGTGCTTACTGGGCTTAGTGGCCTTTGCTTGTCATCCCAGCTAAGTGGAGGCAAAAGGATTGTTTGCACCCAGGAGTTTGGGTTCAGCCTTGACAACACAGTGAGACACCTGTGCCCCTACCCCCACTACAGCTGGGCAAGAGGCTGGGCACTAGTGTCAGTTCGTGTGGCTCCATGCTGTGACGAACCTCTAAGAGGGGAGCTGTTCCCCCATCAAGGTGAATAGGGTCTTCTCACCCCACTTTCCTGCCTGGCATCCAGCTGCTGCCTCCCAAAAGATAGGCCATGAGCTGGAGAGCATGCAAGCCTCCTTAGGCTTCCTGCTTGCTCCAAGGTGACATCTGGTGTTTTTTTCTGCCTGTCCCAAGGTGACATCTGCTGTTTTTTTCCAGAAAGTCTCCTGCTTTCACTGCGGTCCCGGTTAGCGACCCGCCGCCACCGCCAAGCGAAACTGAGGACTCCGATCGCGATGTCTCATCTGATAGCTCCATGAGATAGGGGCCAGTGCCTGGCTCTCCAGAGCTCACTGAGGCAGGGGTGGGGGTGTGCAGAGGACTGTCTTGTGCCACTGCATGAAGCCTGGCCCTGAGCTGTCTCCTCCCCAGGGTTCCTGGGGTATCTGGAGCTAGGCTTGACCCCACCCTTCCTGGACAACTCTCATCATTCGGGACACTCCTGCCTTCACTTGTGGCTGTTTGCTACTTCTCCATCTTTGAAATGCTGCCAGAACACTTGTGATCCTCCCTTCCCCATTTTGTAAGGAATGCAATTCTGGGACCTGCCTGTTCTGGGGTATCTTGGACTTTGGTACTGGTGCTAACTGGCCCAGGCACTTTTGTGGAGCAGGTTCATTTGGGAGTTGCTGAGGGTTCACGCATCCCATACATAGGGAGGCTTTACTTCCTAGTAAGGCCTCAGAGGGAGGCAGGGCACCTGGCCTTGGAAAGTGGCTGTGTAGCTTCTCCTTTGGGAATTCAACTCTTGCCTGAGCTGAGGGGGGTCCCGAAGGCAGACTCTGCTCAGAGGCAAAGGTGAAGCTGCGGCCTGCACACAGGCATGGGCTGTGCTCAAGGCCTTCTCTCCAGGGACCAGCTGAGGGAGGGCCTCACAAAACCAACAGGTTAAGATGTTCTTGACCTTGGAAAGCAGAGGACAGTTAGGATGTCTCAGGAGAGGCCGTGCCGAGCTGACATTGAAGTGGAATCTTTAAATAATGAAGGATATTTATTGAGCACTTTGTGTTGCTGTTTTAAGCACTTTGATATTTTGAGACAAGGTTTCTGCTAACAGCACAGGATGCCCTTGAACTCAGAGATCCTCGTCTTTGCCACTCCAGTGCTGGGGTTGTTGGGATTAAAGGTATGAGCCACCACTGTCCCACATGAGGCCTGATGAGATCTTCATTAAAGGGAACGGAGGTGCTGGATACAAGCCACTCAGTGCCTCAGAACCAAAGCACCCTCAGTGTCCACCAGGGGACATCATGAGACTCCTGGCGCATATCCAGCTCAGCTGTGTCAGGCTCTCCTGACTGATACATTCTTACCGTATTGGGCATCCTTCCAATTTCACCTAATCTAATGTCTGGGGAGCCAGGTACAACTGACCTTTGCCGATAAGACACACACAGCTCTGTAATTCAGCCCAGCCTGAGTCTATGAAGACCCCACCTATGCCCCATTGTCAAGCTCCACCCCTCACTGTTCCAGCCACCTCAGGAAAGGCAGCCTGGGCTGGCGTGTGGCTAGCCGGTGGCTTTGGACTCTGCAGTACCCTATGTGACAAGTGACAGACCCATATGCACAAACGAGGTCAAATTTTCCCAATATTGCTCCCCTCCCCCAGCCCCGTATTTAGAACGCCAAAGGAAGAGGGGATGCAGTGAACTTTATTGATGGTATTCAAGAGAGTAGGGCTCCCTAAGCCCCTCCTGCTATCTGGGGGTCTGGGATGGAAACTGTGAGGGAGAGCTCAGTGTCAAGGGTTGAGTTAGGACAGGGACTGCTCAGCAGCCGAGGGCTTCTCTCTTGCTGTGTCCTTGCTGGGGTGGGTGGTCCAGGGCGGGCTTCTTACTCCTTGGAGGCCATGTAGGCCATGAGGTCCACCACTCTGTTGCTGTAGCCGAACTCATTGTCGTACCTGGAGCACATTGGGAGGACAGTCAGTAGGAGTTACTCTCTGAACTGGCTATCAGGGGTACCAAGTTACTTTTAAAAGCCTGTTTCTGATCCCCACATACCAGGAAATGAGCTTTACAAAGTTGTCATTGAGAGCAATGCCAGCCCCAGCATCAAAGGTGGAAGAGTGGGAGTCACTGTTAAAGTCGCAGGAGACAACCTGGTCCTCAGTGTAGCCCAGGATGCCCTTTAGTGGCCCCTCGGATGCCTGCTTCACCACCTTCTTGATGTCGTCATACTTGGCCTGTTGAGGGCAGAAATGATGACTCCAAGCCCCAACCTCAACATTATCAGTCAGCGACAACCCCCAGCCCACCCCAGACATACAGCTTTCTCCAGGCGGCATGTCAGATCCACGACGGACACATTGGGGGTAGGAACACGGAAGGCCATGCCCGTGAGCTTCCCGTTCAGCTCTGGGATGACTTTGCCCACAGCCTTGGCAGCGCCAGTGGATGCAGGGATGATGTTCTGGGCAGCGCCACGGCCGTCTCGCCACAGCTTCCCAGAGGGGCCGTCCACGGTCTTCTGGGTGGCTGTGATGGCATGGACTGTGGTCTAGAAAACATGGAGTAAGTGAGGTGAGATCTTACAGGGCACCCACCACGGCACCCACAGAAGGCTCTACTGCCGGCAGGGTGAAACAAATGAACTACATACCATGAGTCCTTCCACGATGCCAAAGTTGTCATGGATGACCTTGGCCAAGGGGGCTAAGCAGTTGGTGGTGCAGGAAGCATTGCTGACAATCTTGAGGGAATTGTCATACTTGTCATGGTTCACACCCATCACAAACATGGGGGCATCCGCAGAAGGGGCGGAGATGATGACCCTTTTGGCCCCACCCTTCAAGTGGGCCTGTGTAAGAGAAGTTGGTTTCAGACCTGGTTCTTCCTAACTTTTAGGCACCAAATTGCAGGGTTCCCCCCATCTCCAGACTAGCAGGCACCTACCCCAGCCTTCTCCATGGTGGTGAAGACACCGGTCGATTCCACAACATACTCGGCACCGGCATCACCCCATTTGATGTTGGCGGGATCTCGCTCCTGGAAGATGGTGATGGCCTTCCCGTTGATGACAAGCTTCCCATTCTCAGCCTTAACTGTGCCTTTGAACTTGCCATGGGTGGAGTCATACTGGAACATGTAGACCTGGTGAAACAAGGGCGGGCCTCAGGGGCTGGTTCAGCAGACCATTTGTTCCGTTACCTGCAGGAGCAGCACCCACCATGTAGTTGAGGTCGATGAAGGGGTCATTGATGGCAACAACGTCCACTTTGCCAGAAGTGAAGGCAGCCCTGGTAACCAGGCGTCCAATACGGCCAAATCTGAGGCGAGAAAAAAAAGGGGAGTGTCAGGGGTCTCTAGCCAACACTGGGTCAACTAATGCTCTTTGTCACATAGTTGTAGAGAGCCCACAAAAACCGTGGCCCACTATGTGGCTTTAGAACAAAGGCACAGCACTTTCTATGGAGGTTCAGTGCAGCATTAGAATGTAAGAAGCAGGAAATTCAAGTTTTGTTTAGAATTTCCTTTAATAAAGCTGGTTGAATGCTCAGATGTAGAACCCAAGTATAGGACACGTGCATCCTTAGGAAGCCCCACGAAGTCTAATTTTATCTCCAATGAGCAGCTGAGGGCCGGTTGGGCTTTTACAGCGTGGAGGTTTCTTCCCTGTCCAAGAGGTGAATCAGGCTCCAAGCCTTGTCCAACCTCCCCTCCTTAAGCCCCAGTCATTTTAAGTCTCTAAGTGGCAGTGTGCCCCAGTCTGGGCACAGGCCTGGTGCATGGCATTCATCACCCCCACCACCCAGCAGGCTCTGGAAAGTTTGTTTCAGCCTGGCCTGGCTTCAGGCTGCACCCCTGGACAGGAAGGACTTGTGCACTCAGCATCACCAAGCTCAAAGGGCAAGGTTAAAGGTCAGAATGAGCAGCACAGGGTCAGCCCACCTGCTTCCTCCAAGTCCCTCCTCCTAAAGGGAAGAGATCGGGAAAACCTCTGGGCTTTCCAACCCCTAATCCCAGCACCTGTCTTTGCTAGCTAAAAATCAGAAGCAGGAGCAACAGTTATGTGTAGGGGCCAACAGGGTGGAAGAGCCCAGACCCCAGACACAGAAAGGTCAGCCGGCTAAATTTAACCTCCGATTAGGGTGGAGTGGGGAGATCTGGTTTCTGAAGGATGGAATGGGGAGAAGGGCAGGATCCCCAGGCTCAGAGATACCCAATCCGCTTAGTGACCTTTAGAGTCTGGCCTATAGGGTTTGGGAAGTCGAGGTTATGGGGGGAAGAGGCTGCTAGCACCGGAGCCTTTTTCTGGTCGAAATTTTCTCTTCCGAACCACCGTGACTCAGCCACCGCCCCCCCCCGCCCGCGCGGCAGTACGCCATCGCTACACCTTTGGGGGGCTGGGAGGACAAGCGGACCTCTAAGTCTGCTTGGATTCTCGGAGAACAATCTAGAAAATGCATCCCAAGCCCAAGGAGAATCAGGCAGTTTGGAGGCTAATAAGATGAGACGGCTTGGGAGGCAGAGCTCTCCCGAGAGCACGGAAGCCTTGCATCACCTGGCTCACAGGATAGAGGCGACTCCACCCGGCAAGAGGGAGTGGGAAGGTTAGTCATAAGCTAGAAAGGAGGAAGGTTTCCTAACGGTGGTTCATTCATTTCCTTCCCGTTTGCAACATGGCGGCGGCCAGTTACCCTAAGGGAAGCCAAGCCCTTGGGAGATGATGCGCCAAGGAGGGCGCACCTCACAGCCCCGTGCCACCGAACGGGAGGAAGGGGGCGATGGGGGGGAGGGGCTCCCCTTCTGGCACGTGACTACTCAGGGCGCGAAAGTAAAGAAAGAAGCCCCAGCCAGGGGATTAGGGGGATGGATCCTGAGCAGGCGTGCGCGCGCGGGGGGTGGTCCTCCTAGTGAGGACTCCCGGCTGCTCATCCCCCGCAAGGGCGGAGCCGGAGCCTTCGTCCGGTCTGATCGCTGACCTTGAGGTCTCCTTGGGTGCTAAGGCCACCTTTCCACCTCCTCATACTACTGCCAAGTCCCCGGGCCAGGTAGACCTGCAGACCCAACGGATTGGGGTCCGGAGCCCCACCCTAGCCCAGCCCCGAACTCACCCGTTCACTCCGACCTTCACCATCGTGTCTCTGGAACAAGGCTGCGGAAGAAGAAAGTTGAGATCAGGGTGGCCCGGTGCACCATGCGACCCCCCTCCCCCCGCCGCCGCCACCATTCCCGCCGCTCGCCCCATCACGTCTTCCACCAGCCCTTGCAATGCGGAGCCCGGGCTCGGAGAGCGGAGCTCGCACTAGCGCTCCCAGGCCCGGACAGCGCGCACCCCCTTTCCAGTTTCAGACCGTCCCAGGCCTTTTGCGGCCGACTCCGCGTTTTTCACCTGGCACTGCGCAAAAAGAAGCGGCTGTCTCTAGAACAGGGAGGAGCAGAGAGCACCGGGGAGGGCTGCAGTCCGTATTTATAGAAACCGGGGCAGTGGGGGGAGCTGATGACGCGTGCCCCGCCTCCCGCCCGCTCGTCCAGTCCCAGCACAAGGGCGCTGAGGCCTGAGTTACGTGCACCCGTAAAGCCGCGAGTAGCTGGGCCTCTTTCGTTTCCTCCCATCCCCCCCCCCTTTGGACCCGCCTCATTTTTGAAACGTGCACGCACCAAACGTGTGGGCTCGGGGCTGAGAGGGGGAGGGGAACTGAGATTGCCTCGCTGGGGAGGTGACCCGGTGATGGGTCCCAGAATAAGACCGAGGGAATATAGACTATGGACTTAAGGACGTGGAGTGTGTACCCAGGACATCCAGGACCCAGAGACCTGAAAGTTGTCGCTGGACTAAAGTGGGAGGTCCTTGGGAGCTGCAGGAACGGGGGAAATAGAGCCCACAGCTGCACGATCGACCCTCTCCCCTTTTTGAAAAGGCTGCGGAAAAGTTGAGGATCTTCTCGTTGTTTTTCGGTAGTGACACAGACTAAAGCAGCAAAGCAGAAGAAAAGGCCCGGGAGGGGCCACTTTGCCTCCTGCGGGGGCCCTTCGCATTTGCGGCCCCACCCCCACCTCACCTCCCCTCCACCTTCTGGCTTCGATTTTTGGGGCCAGAGGCCAGGCTTGTGTACTGGATTGTGAGAGCAAGGAGGCTAGGAAAGAGGCCTGAAGGGGCGGTCCCTACGCCATAGGTCGGGATGCCCTGCAGCCTGGAGACCTGATAATTGAGACTCACAAATACGCTTCTGTGTTCCCCAACTAAGGTCAGGGTTGGGGCCCCGGGATGAGGACAGTACCCTGGTTGTGGGTTGGGTTGGAGAAGGTTAAGAGGCCTTCCACAGTGTCCTTCCTCGGAACCTGCCGCCCAGGCTAGGAGACACTGCCCCTTTCACCCACTGCAGCCCCAGGGTGGAGTGCTGGACGTGAGGGCGGAAGTCCCTCCCCGCCCTGGGACGTGCCTGCTGGCCCTGCAGCCAGGGACTCTCTCTCCTTCCTTGGCTGCCCTCGTGGACGCCGGGTGAGGTCAGAGAGGGGGGAAAGTAGAAGGGGAGGTATTATGCCCTGAGCCAGAACAGGCAGGCAGGCCCCCAGCCCGGGATTCCTCACTCCTCTGAAGGGTAGGGAGGGTGGAAAGGGTGGGTTTTGAGCGCTTGGAATGGCTTGGGAGCAGAGCACATCAACAGGTGCAGGGCAGGGGGATCCTGGGGCCTCTTTACTAGGCCAGTGCAACTTGAGACCAGCCCCCTGCTCTTCTAGCTGAAGGGCCTAATTGCTAAGTTTAGCTGGCCTAGTGATAACCTTTGCTTAAAAGGCAGGGAGCATGCTGACTGCACCCCAAATAACAGTCCTGGCTCCTTGCCCTTCTGGGATTGCCCTACCTCCTTGGGGTCCCAGAGCCAAGGCTGTGGGACTGACAGCTGTATCGGCCATGCCCAGGCTTTCCATGAGCAGGGAGCAGACGAGACTAGGGGTGGGGATGGAGAGTGGGAGTGTGGTCATAGCGCTGTGCCAGGAGCAGAGGCGTCTTCAGCCCCGTCCTTTTTCTGCCTTTCTTCCAACAGAGACTCCACAAGCAGCACTGACTCTTTTCCACCAGGTCTCAGGAGCCCCTTCACAGTCCTGCCTAACCTAAAGTATCTGAGGAGCCATCTCCCCTTTTTCCTCATGCCTATCATCTGCCAGTACTGTTCCCCAACCACACAACACACATAAGAGGTAGGGACCGTTTCAGAGGCAATGTGCTGTTGTCATGGCAGCAGAAATATCAGTGCTTCCTGTTCTAAGTGACTCAGCAGAAGGAGTTGGGGAGGGTGGGCAGCACCCAGCAGGGTTTGCAGCTGAGGGAGGGGCTGGACCTCCTGCAGACCCGTAATAGTGAGAAGGAAGGACTGATGGGAGGTAGACCTTGTCACCCACAGAGCTGGGGGGAGGGACACAGCTCATCTCTCCTGGAACGGAGCACATGGAGGAAACAATCCTTAGGTCTAGAGCAGTTTTCAAGTGTTGGGAATTCCTGTGCATCAAGGATGTTAGTCAACATCATCCTTCCTAGGCTTTTGATGAAAGAGTGCTTATAGCAGCCCCATGTCCCACGAGGCTGTGACAGAAATAGTTCTCTGGGTATTGTCAAATGTTGTCTTGGGTACAAAGTACCCCAGGCTGAGAGATGCTTATACGAACCTAGACCATGTAATTCTCTACAGTGGAATCTCTCACTAGTTGTGCAAGATGAAGCAATGCGGATCATGAAGATCCAGAGACAGCCTCAGGGTACCTGGCTTCCTTATCTTCTCTCTGGACTGATAACCCTCAATCTGCTGCCTGAATCTGGGTGAAGGTGAAAGATGAAACAGAGACCAGCAGAGGGCAAAATACTTAAAAGCATATAAAAACATTTATTCTTAAAAAACACGATTGGTTAAGTATCTCTTGGGAAGTGAAAGCAGCCCTCAGATGGGCTCTCAGAGAAAGACACTGAATGCAAAGATCATTTACATGTTAAAAACAAAGAGGCAGCAAACATTTTTACAAGGGAGGAACTGAATTCAAAGGCATCCAATAAGATACCCTGCATGGCAGGGATGGGAATAGGTAAAGGCAACAACTCCTAGGACCTCTGTCTTCGGGCAGATGCTCTGCGGATGGGGGTGGTTCTCTTGGGTGTCTCCTCTTCTGTCATCTCTGCTGAAAGTTCTATTCAGAGAATCATGGGAACAAAAACTGAGTCACCAAGATGGCGCAAAACAATTTTAAACATAACCAGAGCTGCAAAGCACACTGCGGAAGTCAGCCAGGCTGCATGGCGGGGTGGCACTACCAGGAGGAATGACTACACCCAGGCAAGCCCCACTGAGACCCCAAGGCTGTCGGGAGGGCAGTCATACCGTCCTCGCTGGCCTCATCACTTGAAAAGGTAACTTTGGCTTTCTTCTTGGACTTCCGCTGCTGAGTGTTTGGTCGAGGGCGGTTGGTACGCCGAGGCTTAGGTGTGACGAAGTCATTGTCTGAATCTACAGAAGTCAGAGGCTGTTGCCTTGAGACTAGAAGTGGAAGGGAGACAGGATTTCAAAAAACAAAAACAAACCGCAAAGGAAAAACATAAAAGATGGTGGAGACTGCTTGTGGAAGCCCCTTGTGGGCTTGCCTTTCATACCGGCAGCGGGTTTCTTGGCAGACAGGGCTCTCTGGCTGCCTCCTTGGCCAGCTTCAAGCTCCTCTATTCCATCCATGCCTCTGGTGTGACAGGCCCGAAGCTTCTGCTCAAATTCATCTATTGTAGACTAGAGGGAAATTAAGTTAAAAACAGGGCTGGAGATATTGTCTCCGTCTTTAAAAACAGCCATGAAAGACACAGAAAGTCTTGAAATGAAATGCTTACTCTACGTGATCTGTCTCTATCTATGTATCTCTATCAGTTTATATAGTTATGGTGAGAACACAACTAAGTGACACCACCACAGGAGTGAGGTGCGTAGGGCAGTGAACATGTCTAGTATGACCCTGTAGTGACAAGTCATTGTATTCAGGGAAGCCAGTGAGTGTCAGTGTGGCCCTTGGGTACTCATCTGTCAATCATATCCATTCATCCCGGTCAATGGAGACTGTAAGACCACAGTACCCGAGGACAAGGAGCTGATGGGGTAGAGGACGTACGTGGATTGAGACAGGAGCAAACAGGATCTACTTACTCAGTTTTTCTTTAAACATAAAACTGCTCTAAAAAAGAAGTCTAGTGCCGAGCATGTGAAGGCGCGCCTTTAATCCCAACACTCGAGAGGCAGAGGCAGGGGAATCTCTGTGAATTTGAGTCCAGTCTGGTCTACGTATCAAATTCTAAGCCAGCTAGAGCTACACAGAAAGACAATGTCTCAAGTAAAAATTGGCTTTTCCTTGGGGGCTGGAGAGATGGCCCTGGCTGCTCCTGCAGAACACCTGGGTTCAGTTCCCAGCACCAACATTGCAGCTTTCCATAACTCCAGTTCCAGGGATCTGGCACCTTCACACAGACACACACACACAGACAAAACACTAATACACATAAAATAAAAAAAAAAAAACCTTTAAAAAAAATGACCTTTAAAAAAGGGACGGGAGCAGGAGAAAGGACCAGGAATTGGACATAGAAAGATCTTGCCTCAAGTCACCTTGGTTAAATGGTTGTAGTGAGGCTAGCGAGGCAGGAAGGTACGAGTCCCACAGCACACAGGAGAGTACTGGAACCCAGTAGGGCCAGTGACCCTATGCCACTCACCTTGCCCTCAGGCTTGGCCCACCGACGCAGTTTACCCACAACTGACAAAAAAGCAGCAAAGACAGAGTCATCTAACAGCTTATCTCCAAAGCAGTCAAAGTTGTCCAGCATCTTGTGGAGGCCTCGCTCTGTGAGGGGCAGCTGGGACACACAGTAGGCCAGATCCCGGTATTGCCGCTCAGTTCTGCACAAGGAATGGACACCACGAGGCTCGCATGTCCTCCCGCCTCAGTCTCCCTTGGTCCCTCTGAAGAGCCCCTCTAGGCATAGAGACCTCCGAAAGGCGGCATACCGGGCTGTGCGGAACCGCTGACAAAGCTTCTCCACCAGGCTCTCAGTCTGTTTGTCCTTGGTGATGTAGGAAAGGAGCTGCCTGTGAGGGGATGAGAGGAGTGTGTGACTAGCCAGCAAAGTTCTCAACTACTACACAGAATCCACCCCACCCCAGCACCACCCTTTCTGTCCTTGCTTTAGAAGAATGCTCATGGCCATGGCCCCCCACCTTTCCTCCTGTCCCCTTCCATTTACTGAGAATGCAGATAAGAAGAGCTGCTATCTGGTGACTCCTGCTGTGTGCCTACAACCTGGGAGTCATACCCATTTGAGAGCCTCGAGAACTGTGAAGCAAGTACTAGCACTCTCATAGAGGGAAACAAGCAAATGGGTCAAGCTGTTTTGGAGAAGGTACAGCTAAAATGTACACTTGGGGCTGAAAACAGTGGCAGGAGTGCTTCTCTAGCGTACGCAAGGCCCTGAGTTCATTCTTGTTCACTCTTAGCATATCATAGTCAACCAACCAACCAATCAACCAGAGCTGGGATAAAAAGTATGTCTGGTTCCTAACCAAGTCTGTGTGCTGCACACACATACCCCGTACCACACTACATCCCTGTAAGTTTATGTAAAAAACCATACTTCATGATGGTGTGGAAGGGCTCCTCTTCCACCCCACCCTCTGGGTCTGACAGGCGACTGATGATATCAGGGAGGAGATTATAGATTGCGTTGCCCTGTAGGAGAAAGAGACCAAAGACGATGAGATGGGGGCGGGAAGTGCGACCCATCCACTTCCTCTGCAGAAAGCTCCAAGCTGCTTCTGTCACCTTGTGGGAGAGCTCATTGAAGAAATTCTTGGCCAGAGCAGCGATGTGAGGCACAGGGTCGATGAGCAGCACGGCCATCTCGCTCACCTGCCCCTTCACCTTCACCATGTCCTTCAGGATCAGGTGTGTCATCACCAGCCCCGCTGTCCTCCGCACTTGCTGAGCTGGGTCTCGGAGGCTAGGAATAAAAGCTCTAGTCAGAGATCAAGAACTCATTTATATCTTAAGGCTGACATGAAGACCTGATGTAAGGATCTATTGTTCTACAGTATGCCATTCCGGAAGCAGCTCAAAGGCTATTTTGAATTGAAGTCAGGGACAATGGGAGGCTTGTAGGCAAGATTTTAGAAGGCTACTTCAGCTCCCAGTGTCCATTTAGAGCTCGTTTGTACAAGGTGAATAGCTAGCAGATACTGAAGGCTCTGCCACGAGCCAGGGGAAGAGCTGTGGCTCGCTATAGTAATGGACTTCAGAGCGAACTCTCGAGGTGTCTGAGGGATCACTTACCGGGCGTACAGATGAGGAGTCCAGGGATCCACCAGGTTGGGGAAGCGGATAGCCAGATCCCCAGTGGCAACCATGAGATTAGAGCGGACAGTGGGAAGTGAAGACTTTTCAAGCATGGTGAACAGAAGACGAAGATGGGAGTCACAGAAAGGGGCACTGAGGGCAAAGAGAGAAAATCATCAGGGAAGCAGGAGAGCTGTGTCATCTCATCTTCCTAGAGCTGAGACCAACGGGGCCTACCTGATCATGCAGAACTTGCCAAGGGTCAGCGAAGCAGCCGCACAGAGGTCTGGGTTGTACAAGCCAGGGTTGTTGCAGACTTTAAGCAGCAGCGGAACAAAGGCAGCTAGCACCTGATTGCCTGTTGGAAGAAGGGCTCTGGGTTGGGGCGGATGTATCAGGATGTATCAAGGAGAAAGGCACACAGCAGTACTGCTTACCATCCAGCAGCTCCTTCTCACAGATGCCGCGGATCAGCTCTGCCTCTGTGTCATCAGCAGTGGCCCCGACCAGCCCCATCTCCTCCTCCATGGTTGTTTCAGAGCTTGTACTCTGGAGGGAAAGAAGCCAAGGTGATCACTTTTTTTCCTTGAGACAGGCTCTCTTATGTAGCCCAAGCTGTCCTGAAACTTTCTATGTAGACCAGGCTGGCCACAAATTCACAGGAATCTGCCTGCCTTGGTCTCCTAAGCTGGGATAAAGGCATATGTCACTTCATCCTGCTTTGAGAAAAAAAAACAAACTTTTTTGGTTTTATGAGTGTTTTATCCTGCATGTACATAAGCACAACACACGTGTGCATTACACATGGAGGCCAGAAGAGGGCATCAGATTCCCCTGGAGCTAGAGTTACAGATGACTGAGCGTTACCATGTACAATCTGGAATCTGCTCAGGTTCTCTGCAAGTGCAGTAAGTGCTCTTAATCTCTGATCCATTTCTCTACTCACAAGATAGCATTTTTGATTCTAGCATAACACTTCATTTGCATGAAGAGATCTAAAGATGAAGTTTATAAAACCATCCACAAAAGTGCCAAGTATGTCCATAAAGAGAAAGAATTCCTGAGTGGAAGAGAGAATAACTAGGTCCCTACACCTCTTCCTCTGAAAACATAATTGACTCTAAATGGTAAATTTGGCTCAAGGTCACTTTACTCCACCTGCAAGACTCTCTTCTTTGTCTACAAACAAATAAACCTTTAGAAGAGAGGACATAGGATCTCACCAGGTGACAGGCTAGTAACACAGGCTGATAAAAAGAGGGGGTATTGTGTGTGTTCAAACAAACAGCACCTCAGATGGAGCCTGTATCCTAGACTAAGGTATACAAGTCAGTCTGTGTGTACCTAACACCCCCCCACTGGATGAGCATGGGGAGACCATGCCATCTTTGTCAATGTTAATCTTCCCCAGAGAAGTAGCAACAAAGAGGCAGGGTCTTCACTTACTAATAAAGCAGAGATTTCCCTAGGAAGAAATGTCCTGAGCTGAGGCTATGAAAATCTGGGAAACGCTTGGGGGCATGAGCCACCACCTAGACACTCATTCACCTTCTCCTTGGGGTCCTTGGTCCTGTGTTCCTGTTCTTCCTGAAGAACTCGCCGCCGACCCAGCTCTCCACTCACTGCATGTTCCAAATGTACCAGCTGCTGTAGGGCCACATCCCCAGCCAGTGACAGCAGGTTCATCAGCAGGAATGTGGGGAGCTTGGGGACAGCGTCCTCTGATGTAGAGGGAAGGGAAAGAGCAAAGGCACAGTCAAGTTCCATCAAACTCCCACTCCTTCCTCATGCGCTACTCAAAGCAGGAAGAGGAGGTGGGGTGGGACACGTGGCCATAAACAAGAGTGTGGCTGAGGCTCTTTATCCTTTAGGGAAACAACAGAAGCTGGCTGCCCCCTCCGTCCCCGAGCACTCAAACCTCTGCCCACTTACTGGGGTCCTCCTCAATGGTGTTCTTCTCAAGCTTCTCCAAGGCTTGCTTTGCACAGCCTTGTAACATCTGGGCACAGATCACTTCAGGGCTCTCTGCCAGTTGGTAGGTCAGAGTCACTGCCACCTCTTTGAATGGGATCCAGAGGGGATCTGGATGTGCAAACCCTACAGAGAAAGGAGAAATTGATCACTCTGCGAAGGACACAGCCACAACTACCTCAGGCCCTTTTGAATAGCTCACCCTTTGTGACCATCTCTCGAAGTCGTTCAAACAACCTGTGTTCCTGAGGCAGTCGGAAGGGAGGCTGACGTTCACCCAGGGAAGGCTGAGAAGAAAACAAAATGCCAGGGTGGGGAAGACAGACAGGAGGCTCTCCACTCTCCTCAGCTGAGCCATGGCCACGCCAGATCACCTACCTTCCTCCTATCCGAGATGTTGGCAATGGCAAGGCACACCTGCTGGGCCAGCCTGTAGTCCGGTGGGAACTCCTCCAGACCTACCTTCACCAGCGTGTCTAAATTGCTTCCTACAATTTCTGGTTTTCCTCTAGAGAAAGGAAAACGGAGTTAAAGGCAGTCCTGGGCAGGATTCCGGGGGAGATGAGGGCAGTGGGAAGGCCTGTACCTGCCCTGGGTTCCTGAGCCCTGGAGCACCACAGAAAGGCCCTGATTCAGGGCCAGGTCCCTGGACCCCGTGTGTTAGTGACTGTTTCTACTACACAGGCAGGCAGGCGCTTTCTCCACCAGGCAGCCGACCAGGAAAGCTCAATGGGCTGGCTGTGACTAGACGGGAAGGCCTCTCAGACCCTCCTTTCTTTCCCCACAGTCGGAGCCTCACCGTGCCATCATGCCAAGAAGCATGACAGAGGAACAGCGCTCCAGCGGAGAGCAAGGGACCTTCTCTGTGGCTCGCTCCCACAGCAGCTGGGTAACTGCTGGCTTTATCTCACCCTTCTGCACAAACTCACACAGCTGAGGAGGAAAGACAAAGAACTCAGCTTCCGAATAGCAGCTCCCGGTTGGTCTACTTATCTGAAGACAACACTGAGACCTGAATGGAACTAACACTGGCAAACAGAAGAGGAAGGAGTTTGGGGAGGCACTTCTCACTCCAGTCTCTATTTTCCTATCTCATGTCTTTCTTCAAGGCTACACTTCCTAAAGTAACACATTTAAATGGATCTTCTGAGTTCTGTGTGGACCACCGTTCTGACTACACTCTGGATATTTCTGGTAATTTGTCTGTGAGAGGGTCACTGTTCTTTTCCCTTTTCTTTGCCCAGCAATGCCAACACCCTCTTCTTTACATGTGCACCCATTTTACCACTCATTCCTGCCCTCTCATCCCTGCCCACCTACAGGAGCCGCAGGCAGCACTTCTACCCTGCCCATAGCTCTCCAGGTGGCTTGTGTGACAGGCAGGGCGTCTCCTCAGCATCTGTTTCCAGGTCTTCTCTGCCTACTGTAGAAGTTTTGAGCATCAGGCAGCCTGGGAAATATCAAGGCAGTTGCCTCCCACCAGTTCCTCTCTTTCCACAGAAAGGAACAAAAGTAGCAACCAGGAGGCAAGGCCTGGCAGGGGCACCGCTCCCTACAGTGCAGATTCAACTCATTAAAAAGCAGGGGTCCCTTTGACTTGAAAGCACCAGCCTATGCTCCCAACTTGACTATCCTGTGCAGGTAATGACTCTGAGACAGAACACAGACCTCTTCATTCTCGGGCTGGGAGAGTGGATTTCCGTGATTTTTGCCAGAAACTCTCTCCTCTTCTCTCTCTCAACCTCACTGAACTTTCATGACCCCTGCTGACCAGCACCAACCACCTTGATGGGGCATGTCCCTGACGCTACTGTAAGCAGCTCTGTGGTCTGTTACAGCACGGAGGCCGGATATGTTTTCTGGCGAATATACAGTGTAACTGCTGCAGCCAGGCAAGTTGCCGAGCCTCTCCTGGAGCCTCCCTCACAGACCCCATTCTACACACACAAAGAACTACTCCAGAGTCACCCCGTGGTGTTAACAACAGCGCCCAACACATAGTAAACAGCGTATGTTATTACTGCTATTACAGCTGTTATCTATGCCTCCAATTCTACAGGTGTAACAGCCCCGGCTCTCCTGGAACTAGTTCTTGTAGATTAGGCTGGCCTCGAACTCACAGAGATCTGCCTGTCTCTGCCTTGTGAGTGCTGAGATTAAGGGTAGGTGAATATTTACTTGCTACATTTTTCTAAACATATTTTGGTTTTTTCCCTAAGCAAACTGCTGGCGTCTTTAAATTTGGGCATGCGAGCTGAGCACTGCTGCACACAGGAATCTCAACACCGAGGAAGCGGTGGCAGCACCGTGAGTTGGAGGCCAGCCTGGACTACACAGCGAGACAACTGCCCCAAACACAGTAGCAAACAAACAAGCTAATGGAAATAAAGTCGAGAACGGGAAACAACTAATTTTAAATCTCTCTGTGGGGCTGAATAGATCTCTGTAGACAGGAGACAGCCACTAATTATACCTGCTGAATGAGAAGGGGACGGAGGAGACTTACAATTTCCTCAAGACACTGGATGGTCCCGACGGAGGCATCCACTAACAACAGAGAGAGGTTCTGTATCAAGGCCTGGGCCGTGGCTCTGTGGGAACAACAGAGATCAGTGGTCACTATGACCAGGAAGCTGTTAGGTTAAATGACTGCTTGGAATAGGCCTCAGCAGAAATCCACCCTAAGCCTGGTATGGACCCATCCATGAGTTCAGACTCTCCCAGACAAGTATCTTTCAGGATACTAGGATTAATCCTCTGAGAAGCTGATCTCAGAAAAGCTAACAAAGACAAGGAACCCCATATACCTGGCTGAGTTCCCTTTTGGACTGAGGTAGAGTTGGCGGTAGGCATTAAGTACAGCGTCCCGGACACCAGGCTCCTTAGACCAGATGAGAGGCAACATGCGGCGAACCCCAAACAGGGCCTGAGGTACCCCAAATTGGAATACCATCACAAAGAATTCAATCACCTCCTGCACCACTGAGAACAAACACAAGTGTCACCCATCTTGACAACTTGACAAATATCACAACACCCATAGATGGAACCCCTGCTAACACAGTAACATGGATGTGAGGTCACTGCCGTCCCAGAGAATGACTGCTACAATGCCTGCTCATGACACTGGCTAAACTAGGTAAACTGCAAAATGCTATCAGTGGTAAACACCCCCTGACTTTTAATGGTGCGGGCACCAGGGGATGATTGATAGCTCAGTGGTTAAAAGCACTTGCTGTTTGTTCAGAGGACCTGGTTCGAATTCCCAGTGTCCACATGGTGGTTCAACAAATCCTAACTCCAGTCCCAGAGGATCTGACTCCCTCTTATGCTTCCTGTAGGCACCAAACATGCATGTGATATACATACATGCGAGCAAAATACTCATACACATAAACAATAAAATCTTAAAAATATAGCAATAAGAAAGGTATGGGCATCAATAACTATGAGCCGGCAGAACTGTTTCTCAGCCCACGACCAGTTCTTTCTGAAGAGCCCTGGCTTACCTGTGCTTGTGTTCTCATACATCATCTTGCTGATGATGCCGATGGCCTCTGTAACCTTCTGGGAGAAGCTGTAGGCATCCTGCAGATACTGCACTAACATCTCCTGCTTCACCAGCTCATCGTCCCTCTGGGGTCCTTCAGGCTCGGACGCACTGGGAGTGTCTTTACTGTTAGCTAGCACAGGGACATTGTCCCCATGAGACTCCTGTGTGGGAGCTGCAGAGCCTAGGAATTAGAGAGGTACAGGAAGTTTTGCTCAGCAGGCCAGTGGCTACCAACATCCCCGGATATTTCTGTCAACAATTTGAAGGTATAAAATTAGAACTTATTCTAACACACTTTAGTTCGTTTCTTAGTAGATCCCTGTAGACTCCTATGACTGAGCTGCTCCCCTTCCAGATCAGCAGTGTCAACCTCTCCCCAAGCCTCCTTCAACCCAAGTCTGTGCTTGCTGACTGAAAGGATTACCTTTGAAGATAATTCCCAGGAGATTCAGGAAGCTGTCCTCCTCCAGGTCTGTATGATTGAAGGGTTCGGACTCCTGGAAGTGACTGGTAGCTTCTCTAGTGAGAATAATAGCTTGCCTGAAAGAATACCAGTTTGTCACCAATTCAGCACCCAGAAGGATGTCATTGAAGCCCTTGTAAGGGATCCTACCTCATGATTCCATCCAGCCCCTACACACGGTACCCTAAAGAAAAGGAATATATCTCACGCTTCAAGAGCTGAGCAGTACCTACTAGGATATCAGGCCCCAAACTCCAGGCCTTTACTGTAGTCTTCAAAGAAGTTGGATCTCTTTTTAAAAGTTTTTAAAATCATAAACCCAGGGCTAGTCAGAAAGCTTGGCAAGGGTACCTACCACAGAGCTTAATGAATTGGAATTGATTCCCCAAAGTTGTCCTTTGATCTTTACATATGCTGTACCCCAAGTACATTCCCATAAATAAGTACATTACTAAATATATATTTATGTATATATATATAAAAGCCTACTCCAAACACCTGTGTAAAAACCTACTGTGTTTGCAGTCAACAGAGTTTCAATAATTTGTTACTTTTATGACATAACCACACAATGAGGTTCTTTTCTTGAAACAGAGTTTTACAATGTACTCAGAATGACCATGAACTCATCACTATGTATCCCAATGCCCCTGCCATAGACTCCCTAAATCCTGGGGTTACAAACAAGTACTGCTGCCCCACAGTAACATGTGGGCAGCCAGAGCAGTTAGCAGTAGAGCATATGCTGAGCATACCAGAGCTCCTGGCTGCCAAGTCTCTCAGGACAAACAAAAGGCAATAGGTGGCACCACACTTGGTTTATGTGGGGCTAGGGATCGAGCACACACCTCAGGGCAGCCGAGCTACATCTCCATCCCTTTTCACCTTTTGGAGATGAAGTTTCATTACACAACTCTGGCTGTGAGGAACACTTGCTGTTTAGACCTTGCTAGCTTTGAATCTGCTGAAACCTCCTGCTTCTGCCTTCTGAGCGCTAGGGTTATAAGCACGCACCACCAGGTTCACTTAGTTGTCTGTGAAATGCTAGGGACCAAATGCATAGACCAAGTAAATGTTTTTTTACCACTGGGCTAGACCTCCAGGCCTGAGAGTAACTTTCTGTTTTGTTTTGCTTATCGGGCCCTGAGGATTGAACCGAGAGCCTTGTTCACGCTAGTGTTCTACCACTGACACATTCCCAGTTTTCTTTAAACTCTGAGACAGAATCTCATGAAGTTGGCCTCAGTAATCGTTCCTGACTTAGCTTCCCAAGTAGTCTGGCTTACAGGCCTGTGCCACAGACCGGGCTCTGGAGTAGTTTTAAAAACACTTTAAAAAGTAGAAAAGCAGCTGTGGATTATGCTTCAATCCGCTATTACTACAGTAAAAATGCCTATCACTTCTGGGAGCGGCAATACTTAAGAACAAATGACTTTCTTTCTTTCTTTCTTTCTTTCTTTCTTTCTTTCTTTCTTCCTTCCTTCCTTTCTTTCTTTCTTTCTTTCTTCTTTCTTATTTTTTCTTGTTTGTTTGTTTTCTGAAACAAGGTTTCTCTGTGTAGCTCTGGCTGCCCATGAAACTCGCTCTATAGACCAAGGTGGCCTTGAACTCACAGAGATCCACCTCTCTCTGCCTCCTGAGTGCTAGGATTAAAGGTGTGCGCCACCATCGTCTGTTTAGTACGAATCATTTTTAAGGACTCATCATAAGTATCTCAAAGGTTAACTCTAAATCCTCACAGACCTGTTGTGAGGTCATCTTTTTGTACACTGTGAAGATGTGTCACTCTGGTTTAATAAAAAGCTGAACAATAGCTAGGAAGGATTTTCAGGGCAGAGAGGATGCTGGGAAGAAGGCAGAGTTGCCAGCCGGATGCAGAGTAAGCAGGATGAGGAATATGGAGATGAGGTAATAAAGCCATGAGGCAGGAAGTAAAGTAACAGATGGGTTAATTTAAGTTAGAAGAGCTAATTAGAAACTAGCCTAAGCTATGGGCTGAACTTGCATCACTAATAATAAGTGTCTTTTTTTTTGTGAGCTGGCAGCCCAAAGATTCACCTGCACAGACCTGCAGAGAGCATCCTAATCTTGTACATACTTGTAACTAGCCTTGGCGAGCAGTTGACGGATGCGTCCTTTCACCTCTTCCACAGTCTCTGTTCCAGTGATTTGTTGAACTTCCTCTTCCTGGGGAAGCTTTAGAAGCTGCTGCAGGGTGGACTTCAATTCTGGCAACATGGCTTCCCATTCCTCCTCTGGGTCTAGTGCTGCAGCTGAAAGGGAGTCTTGTGTGGTCTCTCTCAGGCTTTGTGACCAACCACAGGGGAAAGCAAGTCAGACTCCCGGGGCAGCTGAATACTCACAAGCAGCCACGGGTCGCCTCTGGGCTCTCATGTCTTGTAACTTCTGGATCTCCTTCTGCAGTGGTCCAGCAAGGTCAGCATCACTGAGCTGTCAGGTAGGATGCGTGTCAGGTCACCGAGTGACATAATGCCATCTCTGCCTCCGTTTCTCTCCTCTTTTGCATGCACCATGTTGACTTACCTTGCAGGAAAAGGGATTATTGGCTAGAAAACTGGCCAGCAGCTGGATGGCATTCTTACATACTAGCACCGACTTGTCTGCCAGACGTCCCACGGCTAAGGCCACCACTGCCTGGAAACGGGTCAGGGGGAGCACCTAGATGAACAGAAGGAGAATCAGCATAAATTCAGCACCACCCAACTACAGCCTATGGGCCACTTCCAGTGGAGGACAGCTATATAAGTGGCTCAACACATGATCCTAACCCTACTTAAAATACTGTGAGATTCTGTTGTGATTTCCCTTACTGTAATGGGTGTGAACTTGGCAGATGATAGTGTCAAGCTGCAGTGTCCAAAGGTCGGACACACTCGTGAGTTTGACCTGAGCCTCACTCTAAAGCAGCCTTCCTGTGAGATTATAAACTATGTGAGCAGCACCACACTGCAGTCCTTAACTGGAGCAGGCACCTTTGTCCTCAGAAAGGGAAGACTTTTATTTCAGTTATTTATTTATATTGTATGCATGAGTGCTCTGCACATGTACCTGCAGGTCAGAAGAGGGCATCAGATCCCATTACAGATGGTTGTGAGCCACAATGTGGTTGCTGGGAATTGAACTCAGGGCCTCTGGAAGAGCAGCCAGTACTCTTAACCACTGAGCCATCTCTTTAGCCTCCATGGCAGACTTTATTATTGGTAGTAAAAATCTCAAGTCTAGACTCTTCTTTGGGGGCAGTTACCAGATTCTGTGTCTATTTAAAAACAAGACAAAAAAACAAACAAACAAACAAAAACCACCTTTTTCAGGGTTGGAGACGACTCTGAGGTTTAGAACACTGGCTGCTCAACTAGAGGACCTGGGTTCAATTCCCAGCACCCACATGGCAGCTCACACCGTCTGTAACTCCAAATCCATGGAATAAGAGGCCTTCCAGCCTCCACAAGTACTGCACATATGTACATGGACACAAGCTAGCAACACACTCATGCACATATAAAAATAAAGGAAAGCATCTTTCCTTGCTTTTTTAAATTGAGACAAGGTCTCATATAGCTCAGCTGTCTTCAAACTTTCCATGTGGCTGAGGATAACCTCAAACTACTGACCCTCCTACCTCTACTTCCCAAAGTCTGGTATCATAGGCACGGTGCTCAGCCAGATTCTCTCTTTACTTTGCCAAGTATACAGAGAAACATTCAGAGTTTTAGCATAGAGAAGGTTGTTTACCTTCTGTTGGACAATTCGGGTAAAGAGCTGTAAAACACGGCTTCGCACAAAGGAGTTGACATCGTGGACATGAGCTTGCAAGATGTCCAGGAACTGATCTCTGGTTTCTCGGGCTGTTTCTTCTAGTTGGTCACCTTTTAGAACCTGCAGGACCATCTCGGCCATGGCTGCTAGCACAGCATTGCGCATCACGTAGTTCTGAGAGAGACATCAATTGGAACGGCTCTCATTTCTTTCCCTCACTCTTCTGCCCTTAGTCAAAGTGAAGATTGCTTGTTCTAAGCTGTTACTTTCCTGGCCAACTGCCTAGGTGTTAACCCCCAGGGTAACAGTAAAATACAAAATCCCAAAGGGATTTGTTTGCTTAGAGAATGTCATAAAGTAAATAAGAGTCAAAATCAAAGGGTTGTGCTTCCTAGTCTGAAATGCTTGGGACACAGTATTTTGGATTTTGTATATCTATGTATATATAGTATCTTAGGGATGGAAACTAAATCTAAATGTGAAATACATCTATGTTTCAAATATATCACACTCATAGCCTAAGGGTAATCTTAGATACGACCAAACCTGGATAGCCTAAGGGTAATCTTAGATACGACCAAACCTGAAGACCAGAGTTCAATCCCCAGGACCAGTAAAAGGAGAAAACCAACTTCCACATAGGTACATACTATACACACACATACACAAAGTAAATGAACATATAATTGTTTTTCTTCCGAGACAGGGTCTCACTATGAAGCACTGTCTGGCCTAGGAGTATGAAGAGCAGACTGGTCTCAAATTCACAGAGGTCCACCTGTCTGCCTCCTGGACGCTGGGATTAAAGGTATGTGCTATGCCTGGCAAATAATAGTATTAAAAAGCAAAATCAGATCTGTCCATCAAGGCACGTTTGAGAAACACTTCTTTTTTGTTTGTTTGATTTTTGAGACAGGGTTTCTCTGTAGCATTGGAGCCTGTCCTGGAACTAGCTCTTGTAGACCAGGCTGGCCTCAAGCTCACAGAGATCCACCTGCCTCTGCCTCCCGAGTGCTGGGATTAAAGGTGTGTGCTCCCACCACCCGGCAAGAAATATTTATTATCCTTTATCTATAAGGCCATAAAATGTTGCAGGATATTTGATCACACCAACTTTCTGATTGGTTTAATAAAGAGCTGAACGGCCAATAGCTAGGCAGGAGAGGAAAGGCAGGACTTCTGGGCAGAGAGAGAAACTGGGAGGAGGGAGCTAAGCATGAGAAAAAAATCGCTGCAAGACGTGGAGGAAGCAGGATGGGTGGGGCAGTATAAAGGAGAGGTAACAAGCCATGTGGTAGAGCACAGATTTAAAAATATGAGTTAATTAGCCTTGGAGCCAAGAAGTCTGTTATACAACCTGGTAAAAAACAGGGCAGGGGATTCCCTCTGCGTAGGCCAAGAGCCAGAGACTAGTCTCATAAAAGAAGTTCAAGAAAATTAGATCAATGAATAGACTGTCTTTGACATTTCCCTAGGAAGCCCCAACACTAGTCTGGGAAGAGGCCAGGCAAGCATCCAGGAAAGAGAAGTTGGAGGAGTAGAACAGGTTGGTTGAGAAAGCTCATTGTTTGTAGAAAGCAATGCTAGCCAGACGGGAACAAGAGGCTTGAGCCCAAGGACTGGATGGGACTGCGAACCAAAGCTGAGTTCTTCTCACTAGACAGTTATAGAATGGTCATCTCTACCAGAACTGCATAAAACCAAGTGATATAAAAACAAGATTCATAAAAGGGTTTCTCAATGGACATGGGTGGCGCATGCCTTTAATCCCAGCACTCAGGAGGCAGTGGCAGGCGAAACTGTTCCACAGAGTGAGTTCCAAGACGGGCTCCATAGCTACTGAGAAACCCTGTGTTGGGGGTGGGGTTTCTCTGTACAAACTGTCACAGTGGTAAATTTAGACAACCTGTCTTCTTTGTGTGAAAATCTATTTCGGGGACAGTCTACTTTGCAGTCTAGGCCCTCTGGGTCTCAGACCCCACGGCACACTTACACTTCCATTGTAACTAAAAGTCTAGGCCTGCTGGGTCTCAGACCCCATGGCACACTTCCATTGTAACTAAAAGTCTAGGCCCGCTGGGTCTCAGA